TCACACAGCAGCGATAGGGTGAAGCCAGCAGATGTCTTCACACCCTGCATCACACAGAAAGTCGAGATTAGAGAGGAATAATTGACAGTGTCCCTGATCAAAACAGACACCTTGTCTCAGCATATTTAGTGGAAAATACATAGAAAACAAAAGCTGAGATTTTCATCCAGGCTGCTGGACCTAATACATCACTGCCAAGAAGGAAGTGTTTAATAAAATCTCAGTGTCATCTGGAGTAGGTATCATGTGGAGCAATAGTCAGCACTCAACCTCAAGGTCATGGTACTCAACCTCAAGGTCATGGTGCAGCACAAGGAACCAGCACAGCACACGAAACCATTAATGTTTACACCTACTGTGTGTCAGGCACCAAGCCAGGCGTTCATTACACCACAGCTGCCCATTAAAGTTCCCAAAGCAAGTTCAGATTTTCATGACACTATGTAACATAAAGTGTGGTTATCTCCACTTCATACATAAGTAAACTGATGCTCACCAAGGTTAGATGAAACGGTCAAGGAAATATAGGAAAAGTACTAAAAGAAAATATAGGGGAAAGTATTCAAGACTTCAATATAAGCAATGATTTTTTAATAAGACTTCAAAAGCACAGACAACAAAAGCAAAAATGGATAAATGGGATTATATCAAACTAAGAAGCATCTGCACAGCAAAGGAACCAATCTAAACAGACAGAACAGGAAGAAAATATTATTATAAACTATTCATCTGACAAGGGATTAATAGCCACAATATATAAGGAACTCAAAAAATGTAACAATAAAAAGCTATATAATACAATTTTAAAAAGGAAATTATCTGAATAGACATTTCTGAAAAGAAGATATACAAATGGCTAACTAGGATATGAAAAGTGTTAAACAGCATTATCCATAAGAAGCATGCAAATCAACATCAGCGGAGCTCAGAGGTAAAGAGTTTGTCTAGCCTATGTGAGCTCTTCATTCCCATCCCTGGAACTGCAAAAAGCAAAACAAAACATATAAACAAAAACCTCATAATGAGGTCATATCACCCAGTAAGAATGGCTATAATAAAGAAAACAAATAACAAATGCTAACCAGGATACGGAGAAAGGGAAACTTATCCGCTTTGGTTGGGAATGTAAATTAGTACGGCCACCACCACGAAAGAATGAAATCCTGTCTCTTGTGGCAACATCGACAGAACTGGAAGACATTATGTTAAGTGAAATAAACCAAGCCCAGAAAAACAAATACCATATTCCTCACTCGTATGTGGATACTCAAAAAGTTCATTTCATAGAGGTAGAGAGTACGACAATGCTCATGACAGAGTAGGAAAGGTAGAAGGACGAAGGACAGAGAGAGGCTGGATCATGGATACACAAGCAGTTTTTAGCAGGAATGTTGTTCTACAGCTCTACAGTAGGGTGATTACAGTATATAGAAATTTATCATATGTTTTACAAAGAACTAGAAGACAGGAGTTTCAAGCTCCCCAACACAAAGAGCTGTAACATGTTTAAGAAGATGGAATGCTACCTACCCCAATTTGATCATTCCCTGTGTATCACATTATCACACAACTATGTACAATGAAGCGTCAGTGAAAATCTTCATAAATATAGACAAAAACCTGAGCTCTGTGAGCAAAAGTTGGAGACAACGGCTGTTGGGTGGTCAATGAAGAGTGTCCGATTTGGTTAACCTTTTTTCCATGAAACTAAACAATTAACCCCCTTTTAGGTAAACAAGAAAACCCCACTGAGCCAGTGGGAACGATTTTTGTGTGTAAGAACCACTGATGGGCACGCACGAGGCTCCCTGACTCTGGCTCCTCCCGCCACTTACCAAGCCCTCATCCCTGCCTTCTTCCCTGAGGGACCAGGATTCACAGGGCATTGGGTAGGGTTTCTTATAACATAACACAACATAACAAAGCTAGATTCCATACGTTGATTTCTTTTTTTCTCACGTTGTTTCTATTTCAGCAAAAAGGAAGGAGGAGAGATCTTAGGGAGAGGAGCCGCATCTCTCAGAGATCACTCAGAGCGGTCTTACCACACCTCGGTGTTCATGATGAGCCTGAACTGCCCTTCAAAACAGTGCCCGGCCTCCACAGATGACCCCTCGATAGTGGGAAGCCCTGAGCCCCTCCCCGAAGAGGTGCTCACTGCCAGCTCCTTCCCCGCCCAGCGCCAGACTCCCACCTCTGTGGCCTTTATCTCAATGATTTCTCCCTGCTTTGTGACATCTATTTGAATACCTTTTTCTTCCCCCTCCACCTGAACGTCTAAGATCCCGGCTCAGATGTCTCCAAGGAGTTTATATGTGTTTGCACAAACCACGTAGAAATCCTTAACGACTACAAATTATCCACCAGGATCGACTCAGAGCCCTTTGGGCTTCTTTCTTTTGTGGAAGCTTGTGTTTACCTTCTATTTTCATGCTTTCAAGTCTCTGGCCTCACCAGGAGTCTTGCTCGTTTGTTCTTGGTGTCTCCTTCATTCGCAAGAAGCATCAATCAGCGTCTGCGACAAGGCAACCTCTTCGGAGAATCAAAAGCCACCGCGCATCCCGGCGCGGAAGGTGAGAAGACGCGTGGACATTGTTCGCGAACGGGCCTGCGCATCTGTTTGAAATGAATGAGCCAGACAACAGTGGCGGCTTCAAAGCCACCCTCCTCTGGGCCCTTCCGGTTGAAAGTCCTGCCCAGCACCGGTACCAGACACAGGGGCTGGTCTCCTGGGCCGAGACTCACCCCTGCGCCTAGCCGGGCCGGACAACTGGACGTCTTCTTCTAGTTTGGGTCTGCAAGGTTAACATGAAAGAGGTTTTTCACTTTCTCCTCAGGCATGTGCTTTAAAAATACATAAATATCCTTCACCAAGAGGTTAGTTCAGAAGTAAGAAAGGCATCAGTGCTGGAAGAACAGAGCTGCCGCTCCTCTGCTGCCGTGGCGACCGCAGCTGAGCCAGAGGATTAAGTCGCGCCTGGGCCCAGCTCCCTGGTCTCCTCCGAGCAAGGGGCCCTCTTGTCCTCCGACCCATTTTGTAGGATCGGAGAGCACATTGCTTTCTGTGGTACCTCATGGCTCTTCTGCAGATTCCTAATGACCCTAATGTGGATGAGGACCTAAAGCCTTGAGCTAGTGGAAGATTTAAAAGCATGTTCAAGACTCAGTAGATGATCATCCCAGTACGGGCTTGAGCGTGGCGCCTTCCTGTTTCATCTGCAGAGCTGTGCATGAATGCCAGGAGTCCAGAGCCCAGCACCTGGCCACCAGTGGGAAGTGGAAAGCTCTGATGTCCAGTTTCATTTATGAATCCACTACATCTCCCTTCCTAATTTCCCAACCTAATTTAATATGTCTGGCATTGTTTATATCTTTTTTAAGTGCCTTATGTCCTTTTGAGTCAAGCCTAAATATAAATATATTCATCAGGGCTGGGGATTTAGCTCGGTGGTTCCGGCGCCTGCTGCGCAAGTGCAAGGACCCGAGTTCGATCCCCGGTACCAAATAAATAAATAAATAAATAAATAAATAAATATATTCATCAGAAATCCATTGATTTCTGACTACTAAGATGGGAGAGAGAAAAGTACAAAGCCGTAGGGTCCAGGGAGGGAAATTTGCATAATGCAAATCACCTAGAACATATTCTGTATAAAATCCCGTAGAATAATTTTACTATATTATTTTCTATTGAAGAAAAATATATGCACATAATTGGTTTCAAGAAAACTGGAGGCTGGGGGGTGTGGCTGAGTGGCAGAGCACTTGTCTAGCATGTGGGAGGCCTTGGGTGCCCAACACCAGAGAGAGAGAGACAGAGAGAGAGAGAGAGAGAGAAGGAAGGAAGGAAGGAAGGAAGGGGAGAGAAGGAAAAGCCCATGGCACTCCTGCGCAGGAAGTAGCCTGAATAATTATGGAACAGCTACTAGATGAAGTTGCTCCCACAGAAATTTGGGGAGTCCTTTCAAAAGCCTGGGGGCAGGCAACACACAGATCTGCCACACCATTAGGGGTTCCGGAAACCCCAGCATCCTGCAGATGGTTAAAGCATTACAAAATATGCCAAATAAATGAGAAAACTAAGTTAGACGCCATCCCCGAGTGAAATAATTCCACAGATAATGTCCAAATTAACCCAGGTAGAGGTCATTTTAATGAATCAAAGAAGAGTAGACACCATAGAGGACTTTTGAGTTTTGAGTCTCTCAATAATACTATGAGAAAGATGTTTTTTATCTCCACTTTTTTTCAGGTGAGGTTGAGGAAGGTTAGATAATTTGTGAAAAGCCACACAACCAGTGAGCAAAAGATCCGAGATTTAAGCTATGGCTGTCTTTTTCTAAGAGCCAAAGACCCCTTCCGTCTACTCCAATCCTCCCACGCTTATGTTGGGAACACAGACCTGAAGCCCCATCCCAGACCCGTGGGATCAAAACCTCTGGAAAGTGACCCGGAAATATTCTGTTTAACAAGAGGCCACGTGGTGATGATTATCCAAAAAGCTCAAGAAGACTGCTGTCCTGCATCAGGCGGGAACTGAACCGTCTCTCCCTGAGTGATAGAACAGAAGCCACAGAGATGTGATGCTCCTACAGCTAAAAATAAATCATGCCATTCTGGAGTTCATCCAATTGTAATATTGTAGAGTGGTTATTCCTCGGTTTGGTAACATAGCATTGTGTTATTGAAGGTTATCTGGATTCTAAAATACCAAGAATGTTTTGAAAAGTTAAAAACAGGCTCGAACTGAAACCTCAGACTCCTTCAGCTGTGCTCCACACCATTTTGATCCTGGAGGGCAGGAGTGGACAGACAGACAGCTGGACTCTCTGAAGCTCACACAGACAGAGTGGTTCCAGCTGTGCTCAGCAGGGGCAGCGCAGGAATAAATCCTCCTACCTGGTCCTCTTCCACAAACCAGCAAGTTGCACAATCCAGGAAGTAGAAAATCTGTTGCCGCTCGGTTTGCTTTCTGGGTTTCTGTTTTTACACACTTGGTGTAGAGAGCTAGGAACAACACAGCCTGCAGCCTCGATAGCCAGTGCAAGTGCAAACTTCACATCTGTACAGCTGTGCACTGTGCTGAGACTGCTGAACCCCTGGATCAAGCCAAGGGTGGGCAGCCAGAGGCGACAGGGACCCACTGACCTGAAACCTGAGACCGCCGGGGGCTTGAGACCACTGCTTCCTGCAGGCCTTATTGTAAGTTACTCCCACTATCTCAAAGGGAAGTTTGAGATGTGATTACGGTAGAGCTGGTTACCCGCATTTGGAGCACAGATAGTTGCTTTATATGCTCTTGCCAAGAAACCTGCGTTGAATATTTCACAAATAATTACTTTAATTTGCTTCCATTCCTGAGTGTTCTTGATGTCCTTTACCCTTCACAAAAACTCTGTGAGGCTGGTGCGCTTATTAACATGATCTTACAGATGATAACTTGGTTTCCCAGGGTAACTGAGTGACTGGCAGAAAGTGCACAGCTAGTGGCTAAAAGCCGCCTCAGGGCACAACACAGCTGCCCCCAAGAACTCCAGGTATTTAGGACATTTCACCTCCCAAAAGACAACTCTCAGATTGGATTAAAAAAGTGAGACCCAGTCGGGCATGGTAGCGCACTCCTGTAATCCCAGCACACTGGAAGGCTGAGGCAGGAGGATCACAAGTTCAACTTAGTGAGAGCCTGTCTCAAAATGAAAATTTTTTAAAGGGCTGGTGATGTAGCTCTGCACAAAAGTCCTTAGTTCAGTTCCCTGTGTGGCAAATAATAATAGCAGTAACAATAATAATTTTTTACAGGTGTAGGTAACAAAAAGATAAAAAAACACTAAATAAAAATGCATATTGAGGAAATGCATATAAAAAATGAAAGCAGTTGAGGAAGTTAATATTACAAAAAAGAGATTTTTGAAGCCAAAATGATGGGAGCTACAAAGAAGCTCTGCTAATGTTGAAAACATAAAATCACCTGTGAAGACATGGATGACCATGGTTACAAATACAGAGAAGTAGAATAAATAAAAAGGAAGCAATTACAATGGGAGATTTTCATTCATTTTAAGGTTAAGAATTTAGACAATCTTAAAAATTAAAAACAAATTTCAACAGCCAAAAATTTAGATGACATTGAAAATGTGACAAAATTTGAAAAACTACAGAGGTTATAAATATGACACAATCGGGAAGTTAGAAGCGATAGACGTCTATCAAACTCAACCCCAGCATGAGTTATAAACTTTTCCCAGTACGTGCATCCCAGCTCTCAAGGGTCCAAATTCAATCAAGGGAAAAATATATTTTCTCACAACAGGAAATAAAATAATATTAATACTGTAGATAAAAACAATGAATGGAGGGCCGGGGATTTAGCTCAGTGGTTCTGCCACCTGCTGCACAAGCGCAAGGTCCCGAGTTTGATCCCAGGTACCAAAAAAAAAACAACAAATGACAGGAATGTGGGCCAAAAGTGTGACCTAATCTACAGCCTCGGAGCAGACAAGGGTTTAGATTATTACTCCGTCCCTCACTGCTATGTGATCTGGGTGATTTAATGAACCTCTCTGAACCTTGGATTCTGCATCTAGAAATCCACCTCCACTTGCAAAGTTGGCACGAACATTATGTGTGAAGCACATAAACTAAATGAAGACTTGACAGAGTCGAAACTATAAATCATGCAGTATGATTTCATTTTTAATGTTCTCATATTTTATCTAAAAATGGTCAAGAATTTTTGGTAATTGAAAGCAACATCTAGAAAACAGACATCTAAGTGCTAATCGTGTCTCTCTCCATGCTCCGAGATTTTTGTTCTCTTGTTTGTTTATCTGTAATTTTTCTACTGTGAACAAATAGTGCAAAATGAAGTAATGGTAAATATGAATATAAAGATGGACTTTTTCAGAAAAAAAGTACAAGAAGAGACTAAATATTGATGGATCAGGTGCCGTGTAGACAATGACTTAAGTTGCTGCTCTGTTGTCCTCTATATCTCTCTAGATGATAGATGATAGATGATGAATAGAGGGACATGGACATGGACAAAGACACGTATTTATCACGCAATCCTGGGGTAACTGATAATGAGAATGTGGACTATGGGATTAGATCATCATCTTGTATCAATATGAAATTTCCTTGCTTCAATGGTTAAATTTCTTTATCTTTATGAGAAAATGTCTGTCTTGGGAAATAGACAATGAAGTACTAGGTTTGTAGTCTCACATGGTTCAGAAAAAATTCATATAGACATAGAGACGGCGAATGAGAAAGGAATTAGAGAAAAATAGAAACAAATGGTGAATCTGGGTGAAGAATGCACAAGAGTTCTTTATATTCGTCTTTTAACATTTTTGAAAGTTTAACATTATTTTAAAATTTACAACAACCACAAATAAATTGAATGGGTAGAAACTTCTAACAACAAAAATAATTCTCCTCAGCAAAAAGGTGAGGTAGGAAATTAAAAACATAGTAACAATTTATGGACTTATATAAATTGCAAACATTGCCCACCAAAAGAAAGGGAGCTGTGGACAAGTCAGAGCTCAGAGGTGAAGATAGAGATCTATGAGCTTTTATCTTATGAAAATTAAAAAGTAAACTAAACATCTGACTTAAATCTTTGAAAGAGAATGAGGATGAAAATAGAAACTAATAAAAAGGAGAGAAATAAAAACTAAAGAAAATCTGTGGAAATAATAAATTTAAATGTTCATTCTCTGAAAAGATTACAAGATAGACAAAAACCGTTAGAAATGTAATAAATAAAAAAGTATAAATCCACAAAATTTTAGAATGACTGATGACTTAACACTGGATATAAAAGATTTTAAAATATAAATGATTGCAGTGTATAATTTATGATAATCACTCTGAAATATTTTAGCAAAATGGACAATACAAAATGTAAAGTTGGCAAGACCAGATGTGAAAAACATAGAAATAGTGATGAATGAAGGGGAAACTGAGAACATTGTTAAAGAAATACCTCATCCACTTAAAGAACTATTATGACCTAAACAACTTTACTGAACAATATTTGTACATATTTAAGAACAGATTTTTCCATGTCATGGAAAACCACCACTGACACCTGGTTCATTCTAAGAGATGCAAATCACCCTTATCCACATGCCTGTGAAAAATGCCACACAGATACATGCACACGTACACAGTCTTAGGGTGGCAATGTGCCCATGTGCCAATTCCAATAGAGATGGTTTGAAAGGTTGGAAACAGGCCCAGGCATGTAACAGAGTTTCCAAAAACAATTGTTGAATATGAATATGTGAATGAAGAAAACAATGCCAGTCGACTAGCAATGTCTCCTGAGGGCGTGAAGGACAGAAACTGCTTGTTTTAGCATCTGTTTAGCAACTTCAATTAATAGCAAGGCAGAAAAGTCATTTTTCCTGAGCTTACAGAATGCATCTATAAATTAAAATGATAGCATGTGATAACTTTAGAAAAGTGAAATCTAGCAATGCTAAAGATGATAGCCATTCACACAACACCTCTTATTAAACAATTACTTGCCTGGGATTTAGCTCAGTGGTTCCGCCACCTGCCTCGCAAGCGCAGGGTTCGATCCCTGGTACCCCCACCAAAAAAAGAGTATCTAAACAATTACTTTTGTGTGTGTGAAAGATTTAAAAGAAAATTCAAGAAATGAAGACATGAAGGATACCACTGAAGGAGAAAGCTATAAATCTGATTCTGGGAAAATTTAAACAAAAGCGCCCCAGGCAATGTGAAAAAACAAAATGCAAACTGGGAGAAAATATTTGTAATGCAAATAGCCACCAAGAATATTAAAAAGCAGTAATAAAAAACACTGATGAACTAATAGAAATATGGGCAAAAGATCTAAACAAGTACTTTACAACAGAGGAAACCTTAATGACCAATGGCACCCACAAAAGGATGTCCAGCAATTTCACCACTAATCAGAAAGTTGAAAATTAAAACAGTGAGGTACCATTTTATATCTATCAAACTGGTGAAAATGAAATAACCTGATATCATCAAGTGGTAACAATTAAGTGGAAAAATGGGAGGAACACTCACATTTTGCTGAAATATGTCTATTGAAATAACCATTTTGGATAATAAATTGTCAATATTCAGTAACACTAAAGGGATCCACAAATACTATTTCTGGGAGCAAATCCTAGAAGCTCTCATTTTTGGATAATGAATATCCACTGTAAAACAAAACAAGAAAGTAACAGCAAAACAAAACACAAATAAACAATACCAGTCTCCATCAACCTAATGAATAAATTGGGAGAAATTCATTTAGAAGGATCATTCATGACAGTTCTATTAACAGAGACAAATCTCAAAAATATAACACTGAGTGTAAACACATATCATGGTTAGAAATGTAGAATATAATAGCTTTAAAACAAAGTAATGGTAATATTTTATGGCCACATGCATAGGTTGCAAACATATATGAACAAGAATAAGAACAGCAGACATCAAACTCAAAAAACATGGAGTTGCAGGCCGGGGATTTAGCTCAGTGGTGCTGTCCGCCACCTGCCTCACAAGCACAAGGTCCTGAGTTCTATCCCCGGTACCAAAAAAAAGAATGGAGTTGCTCCTGAAAAAGGAAAAATGGGACTAGATTTGGAAGAATTACACAGGAATACACTCATCGTTCTTCTCACAAATAAGAAGCACATGAGGTCGAATGTTAGGATTTAACAGAGCTAGGAAGCAGGTGACATGCATATTCACTATACTTAAGTATGTGTTTGAAATCATTAAAAGTTTTAAAACTTTGCTCCCCAATTTTAAAAATATACAAGAACATGTTAAGTGTATAAAATATGGCAATAACACGATCAGGGAATTAATGAGGAAAATATGCAATAAAAACAAGGATGGAGTCAATTCTATTTTGACCCCCTAGTAAAAAATACAAATTAAAAAATGTGTATCCCATTTAGCTTATCAATTTCACATGAAATTATAAAATGGAAGGGTTGTTTTGTGTTTTGGTTTGGGTTTTGTTTTTGTTTGTTTTGAGACAAGGTCTGACTATGTTGCCCAGGCTGGTCTCAACCTCAGGTTCCTCCTGCCTCAGCCTCATGAGTCCTGGGATTACAGGTGTGTGCCACCACGGCCTGGCCTGAATTGCAAAATTATTAATAATTAATGATAACAAAGGTGGAAGATGGGCTAAAGGAAAG